GTTACTTACATGAATGAATACCTGTTTTTCAATAGGCAGAAGCATTAGCACACTTTGTCAGGGCTGGGGTATCTTAGAAGCTGGTAGATTGATCTCTGACATGTGACCGGGTGCCATTTCCCAAGGCTACAGAAAATGCTGTAGCCCAAAAAATCCTCCCCACCCCCACCCCAATTTAGAATGCAGGAAAACCAGAAAGCAAAAGTATTGGATATGAAAAAAAGGGAGGGGAGGCAGGGAAGACAGAGAGAAAATGGGAAGAAATCAGTGGTGGAATTGAGAGTTGATCAGACTGTAGGACTGCCAACCTCCTGGTGAGACCTGGGGATCTCCCTGAATTACAACTGATCTCCAGTTCCCCTGGAGAAAATGGCTGTTTTAGAGGATGAGACTGTACGGGGTTAAACTCTGCCTTCCCTGGGCTCCACCCCCAAATCTCCAGGAATTTCCTGACCTAGAGCTGGTAACCACATTGGAATGGTAGACCTGCAGAAGAGAGAGAACTGTCTTTCCACCAGGCTGTCCTGAGGGATGGGTTTGTGTGTGTGTCAAAGCTTCTCTTGATTCTTGATTTAATACAAACCATCTGGCCACTGTTTGGGGCCAGCTGCCACTAGGTCTCTGGTGTCTTATTCATACGTGCAAGTTAATTGAAATGAGGTGACTAGAATAAGAGTTCATATCTAAAGGGAGTGCTACTGAAACTACAGTGGAAATACCTCATGGGAAGTGTTTGGCGTCTGCAGGGCTCCTTTGCATATTAGGCCACACACCCCTAGTGCAGCCAATCCTCCAAGAGCTTACAGTAGCCCCAGTAAGAAGAGCTCTGTAAGCTCTTGGAGGATTGGCTACACTAGGGGGCGTGTAGCCTAATATGCAAAGGAGCTTCTGCTACCAGTAGAGCCCTGGGCGTCTGTATAGAATGTTGTCATCAGGAATGATCAGAATTCATCCATAAGCCCTCAGCTGATGGGCAGTGGCTTGGTTTTCAGACCCTTTGGAATCCTAGGAACATGAATATGCAGCTTTCACACATACTGAATAACTAGGTTTGCCTCCTGCTATTACAGTTGATCTCCGGACAAGAAGTTCCTCTGGAGCAGATGTCTGCTTTCAAGGGTGGACTCAATGGCACTGTACCATCCTGAGGTCCCTCCCCTCCCCAAACTCCGCCCTCCCGAGGCTCCACCTCACAAACTATTCAGCACAAACTATTTCCCAATGCAGAGCTGGCAGCTCTATAAATAATGCACTTTCAATCCACTTTGGAACTGGATTTTTCTATGTGAAATGGCAAAATCCACTTGCAAACAATCACTAAAGCGCTTTGAAGGTGCACTATACGACATGTGTGAAAGCCCCTCGTTGCCAAGGCTTGAGAACTAAGCTTAAGGTCCTATCGATTTTATTTGGTTGTTAAATGTGATAAAGAATGGGGAGGGAGTAAATATGTACTTTTTCTACCATGCTATGGACTACTTCTATGATTGCAGGAGTTTCTTTTCATGAGATTGGCATGGAATGAGGTGTGGAGGATATTAAAACTTTATAATTTTCATCTTCTGGAATTCTTTCCCCTGGGGTGATAGTATGTTTAACACATTCATAAGTTTGGCCTACCTGGACATGGATAGCCAAGGCTAGCCTGATCTCAGAAGCTAAACAGGGTCAGTCCAGATTACTACTTGGATGGGAGACGACCAAGGAAGTCCAGGGTCATGATGCGGAGGTGGCAAACCACCTCTGAATGTCTCTTGCCTTGACTTGATTACCAAAAAAGAGAGCTTTCCTTGGTTGGTGACAATATGAGCTGCTGCCACATGGGGGAGCATTAATAAGCAAAACAAACCAGATAAAATCACTTTTGTTTTAGCAGTCTGCCTGGCACAACAGTAAGCAAAGATCCTAATCTATGGTACGGCATGAAGTGAGCGAATGTCCACCTTTGCTGTGTCCATTGTGGAGGTGTAGCACACCTCTGCCTTGACAGGATGTACAGAATAATTACTAATAACTACTACAGAATAACTGCCTTGTCTTCTGAAACCATCCTTGGCCACCTGCGCCCTGCCGGCATTGAAGCAATGGCTTTAGCATCAACACTGACTATATTCCCACTATGATTGCTTTGCCACTAACGTTTCACCATCGTTATACAGTACTGATACTAGCACTTTATGAACTGGTTTTATAGTTGTTTTGTTTTATCTATCTTCATTTTTATGGAAGCCATCCTGAGCCTGCTTGGCGGGGAGGGCAGGGTATTAATCAAATACAGGGCTATTTTTGGGCAGGAACACACAGGAACGGAGTTCCGGCTGGCTCCCGAGTTGGCCACACCCAGCAGAAAGTCATTAGCATAATAGGCCACACCCAACAGCAGAAACTCACTAGGATTGGCTACATTAGGGGTGTGTGGCCTAACATGCAAAGGAGTTCCTGCTACAAAAAAAGCCCTGGGTTTTGACAACAAACAAGGTAAACAGAATAAGAAGCAAAAGGTGGGTGTGGTTGGATGACCACACTTCTGGTAACATGGGGGTGCAGCCTAATGTGCTAATGAGCTGTGCTGTCAGGGGTGTGGCCTAATATGCTAATGAGTTTCTGCTGTTGGGTGTGGCCTATTATGCTAATGAGTTCCTGCTGGGTTTTTTCTACAAAAAGAGCCCTGATAAATTAGCACCAGGTGGATAGTCATGTTGGTCTGAAGCAGCAGAGCAAAGTTTGAATCCAGTGGCACTTTTAAGACCAACAAAGTTTTATTCGAGGTATAATAAAACTTTGTTGGTCTTAAAGGTGCCACTGGACTCAAGCTTTGCTCTACTAAAATAGCATTTCATGAAATACAACTACATTTTCCCAACTGTGTCATCCTGTGAATCCTAACTTTAATTAGCACGGGTTGGAGCTACTTTAGATAGCACAGAGAAATAATAAGTGGAAGCACAAGTGACTTGCTTCTCTGTTGTATAAGAATCTTAAAAAGTTCACCTAAGGCAGGGGTGGCCAAACTGTGGCTCGGGAGCCGCATGCGGCTCTTTCACACATATTGTGCGGCTCCTGGCAGGGCGGCTGGGGAAGCTAAATATCATTAGCAAACAAATATCATTATCAGTATCTGCTTTTACTGCTTTTCTTATTATTTTTGGCAGTCTCGTTTAATGTTAGCAAAAAGCAAATTTGCATATTTCCCAGTAAAAATGTGTAATATTTGTTCATGTCTTGCGGCTCTCAAACGTCTGACATATATTCTATGTGGCTCTTACGGTAGGCAAGTTTGGCCTCCCCTGACTTAAGGGTTGGTTCTAGTTCGCTTTCAGATCAGGACTGCTTAGGGTTGCCAGGGGATGCCGACAAGCCGGCAGGGGACTTTCCAGGAGGCTCTGGGAGAGGGGAGGGAGGCTTCGGAAGAAGCAAGATTGAACTCTGAAGTGAGTTCGGGGTGAGCTGCTGTTGCATTTAAAGGGACAGCATTCCTTTTAAATCCCTTCCCTCCATTGGAAATAATTGAGGATGGGTGCACCTTCTTTTGAGGCTCATAGAATTGGACTCCCGGTCCAATCCTTTTTAAACTGGGGGGGGGGGGGTGTTGAGGAGATGCATCAGCAGCTATGCTGAAAATTTAGTTTCTCTACCTCAGAAAACAGCCCCTCCCGGAGCCCCAGATACCTACAGATCGATTCTCAATTATACCGTGTGGGGACCGGTCACCATAGGGTATAATGGAGTGCCCAGCAGCCATCCCCCCCCCACTTTCTGATAGCCTTGAAGTGGGGGGAGGGGCTCCAAAACAGGGGGTCCCTTGCTTCCAACTGGGGATTGGCCACCCTAGGACTGCTGCCTGAGGTTGGCGGTTAAGCCTTCCCACCCAGTGACAATTTACCTGATACAGAATGACTCCAGGGAGCTGCTTTGTGGGCATTTTAGATCAGGAAAATGGGGGCAGGAGACAGATTCAAATCCCTCCTCCAATTATATTGTGGTCCTATCCAGATTTGCCATCATACCCCTGCAAGCCTGAAAATTAAATTAAAAATACTGGAGGTTTTGTCTGCAGGTCCTAGTGTCACATGTAGGTGAGCCTTTGCTGTTTAGTTCTGCTGAAAATAGACTAGAGAGATCACTGCAGGAAAGAGCTGTATGCCTCTGATGCAATGGCTAGAGAATGCAAACTGTCCAGCTACCTTTAATAGAGCTGTGAACAGCATAGGTGTGGCTGGATTTGTGCATGGGAAGTATTTTTGAGTGTTCCAAAGCTTGTTTTTAGTAATGGGTTTGGGATAGGCTGCTGGCAGAGGTTCGAGCAGTACCCCCTCGTCGTCTTTCTCTTTGGCTATGCAGAATTATTTAAGACTAGCAAGAAGGCCCATTGTGGAAAGAAATGCAACAGCCTCAAGACAGAGGATTTGGGAGAGTACCCCTGCCTGCAGCTGCGGCGCACAGCCTCCCCGCAAATAGTTACATGAAAGGCAGGGGGGGAGAAGAAGAGAGCCCATGCCAGCTGCCCCTCCTGGAGGCCCCTCTGTGGCTTCAGAAGCCAGCTGGGTGTGGGAGGGGGCCAAGACAGGCTGGCGAGGGGCGGTGTGTTGGGTCCCAGACCGTGTGTTGGGTCCCAGACCGTAGTGCTCGTGGGGGAACATATGAGGAAAGGCGGTCCCTTAGGTAAGCTGGACCCTGACCATATAGGGCATTTGAATTGGGCATAGAAATAACAATTCATACACACTCATTACATTTCTTTGAACATTGTATAGAAGATAAGGGGTTTTTTTCTGGCTAAAGCATAAAACTTTCTGAGCCTATGGCAAAAATGAAAGCTGGGTTTTGAAAATAGAAGTTAGTACTTTTCTGTATTGGGCCAGGCATACTCTAGATTTATTTGGTAGTTCAGGGCATTCACAGCCTACCAACCATTTCTTCCAACCGAGAATTTTTTATCCTGACCTTCATCACAAACTTTCTCTGAGAAATTATCTCTCTTTTTTTTATGCTTCTCTTAGGGAGTCCACAAGACGACCCAGGTGACCGAGAAGGTGAAATGAGTTCCAAAAGGTGCCGAACAGATGAAACCAGCGTCTGTGAGAAATGCTGTGCGGAATTCTTCAACCTCTCCGAATTCCTTGCGCATAAGAAAAATTGCACTAAAACGCCGCCTGTCCTAATCATGAATGATGGGGAGGGAGCGATGCCCCCGGAGGACTTCCCTGACAGCGCCTCAGAGCGTTTCCCGAACAATCGGATGAACAGAACCGCCAAGGACTGTCATGCCAAGAGCTGCTCTGGTTCTGCAGAAGAAAGGGGGGAGAAAGCTGGCACTGAACCGGTGGGAGGGATGTATCTGAAAACGGAGCCCCCTGTTCCCCCTGCAGCTCACGGTTTAAGCTACTTACCCAAACCTAAAGTACCCAACACTAATGTAACTTTGCAAACTATCCGTGGCACTAAAGTGGCTGTCAACCAGTGTACCTCTGAGAGCCTTTCTCCGTCAGCAGCCGGCCTCCATGCTATCCCGATGATCCTCGAGCAACTTGTGTGCCTCCAGCAACAGCAGCTCCAGCAGATCCAGCTAACGGAGCAAATCCGCATCCAGATAGCCATGATGGCTCCCCACATTCTTCACCCTTCCATAGCCTCTGCTGCAGACCCTCTCAAAGCTTTGGGCGCTCACATGTCCCAACAACTCTCGGCTGCTGTTGCTTTAATTGGACAGAAAGCTGGGAACCAAAGCCTATCACTGGAATCCTTGAAACAAGGCAAACTACCTCATTCGAACATTGGCATTCCAGCTGCCGTCTCCGTGGCCGCTGGGCTGGCGCCTTCCATTTCCTTGAAGCCCGAGGCAAACCGGGGCCTGCCAAGCTCCATGTCACGCTTCCCAAGCCCTTTGCTACCTCAATCGTCCAGCTCGGTCATCTTCCAAAACCCACTTCCTGCTGTTTCCCCAGTGGTTGACCCCACAAAGAAAGGGAAAGGGAAGCTGCCGACCATGACCGTGTCTGAAAGCAAACCGAATACAGAAGAGCCCTTCTTCAAACACAAGTGCAAATTTTGCAGCAAGGTGTTTGGCAACGACAGCGCCCTGCAGATCCACCTCCGCTCCCACACTGGCGAAAGGCCTTACAAGTGTAACATTTGTGGCAACCGCTTCACAACCAAAGGGAACCTGAAAGTGCATTTCCAGCGGCATAGAGACAAATATCCTCACATCAAGATGAACCCCTATCCAGTTCCTGAACACCTAGACAACGTACCCACTAGCAGCGGCATACCCTATGGAATGTCTGTCCCACTGGATGAGTCGAACTTGATTGTGGACACCAAGGCTATTTTGACCACCCTGCCTGCCTCCATAGGTATTGGCTTGCCTCCCCACATATCAAGCATCAAGGATTCTCTCACTGGGGTGCTTGTGAGCGATGTACACATGCAGCCAAGACCTTCTCCAGAAAGTGAAGGTGGTTCTTCATCAGGGGCAGCCAGTCATGAGTCAGGAATGGAACCGAGCCAAAGTTCCCCGCAAGCCAGCTGCAGCGCGAGCGCCTTCCATCCGGGCAGAGGCAGCGAACAAGGTTCAGAAACAACCAAGCTGCAGCAACTGGTGGAGAACATCGACAAGTCCTCAGCTGACCCCAACGAGTGCCTGATCTGCCACCGGGTCCTCAGCTGCCAGAGCTCCCTCAAAATGCATTACCGTACCCACACTGGCGAGAGGCCCTTCAAGTGCAAGATCTGTGGCCGCGCCTTCTCTACCAAAGGGAACCTCAAGACACATTACGGAGTCCACCGAGCAAACACTCCACTGAAACTGCAGCACTCCTGCCCCATCTGCCAGAGGAAGTTTACAAATGCGGTGGTGCTGCAGCAGCATATCCGTATGCACATGGGAGGGCAGATTCCTAACACGCCAGTCCCAGAAAACACGCATGACAGTATTGACGTGGAGGGTGCCGTGGCTGAGAAGAACGGAGATCCGTGCCGTACAGATGAGAACGCGGAAAGCATGGAGACAGCAGGGGACTTGGAATCCCAGGATGGTCTGAGGCACTCTTCCAAGCCGTCCACCCCGTGCAGTGCTCATCCTGATCCTTCCAGCTCAGTTTTTTCAAGCATCTCAGTGCTGGAAAACCAGATGAAAATGGTCAACTCGGCTTTGACCTTACAGCGTCAAAGCAGCCTGAAGTCCAGTGACAATGGCTCAGCGGAAAGTGATGGCACGACAAATGATTCTTCCTCGGTAGCAGGTGATCCAGACTATCAGAATGGCAGCCGAAGCCCTGTCGCTTCTGAATCAGCTTCGTTCCTGGCGTTGTCTCCAGCCAACAGTCAAGCGGAGAGCACCAGATCCAAGTCTCCGGGTTTCAGTGTCCCAGAAAATGGTGTTTCAGGAAGCAAGTCTGACGGTCCCGAAATCCATCCTGTAGAAAAGGACAGTGCTTTGGACCTAACTTACGGCAATATCGGTCGAAAGGTTATTAAAGAGGAGCCTGGCCTACACTTCCAAAATGGAGAGTATGGTGAGTCCCTCAAAGTCATAATGGCCGTAGTTGTTTTAGGTCCTAATTGAAATATGTAGCTTGCTAATGAGTATATTGACGGATGAAAAGCTTGTGTTGAGGTTTGCTGCCTTCAGAAGGTTGGGCAAAGCCCACAGTGTCCTGCAGCACAATAGGAACACGATGCAAGCACCCTGTTTAGAGATCCTTGGTGGGTTGTGAACAGAGCATTGGATTCTGCAGGCCAGTTAAAAACAACAGGCTATTCAGTCCAGCATTCCGTTTCAAACCTTGGCAATGTAGGCAACAGCTATTCCCTGCCTCTCCCCCCACGAATCTGGTGTTGAGAGGTAAACTGCCTCTAGATCTAATTGCCATTGACAGGCCTATCCTCCATAAACTTTTCTAATCCATTCTTGAAGCCATGTAATCTAGTGATGGTCACCACATCTTGAGGCAGAGAACTAAGTACTCTGTAATTTGTTTTGGCTCTGTTGAACCTGGACCTGGGTTTGAGTCTCTTCTCTGCCATGGAACTCTGCTGGTTGACTTTGGGCCATTCACGCACACATGCGCCCAAGGTACCTCATAGAGTTGTTGTAGATTTTCTGGGCTGTATGGCCGTGGTCTTGGCATTGTAGTACCTGACGTTTCGCCAATCCTCAGAGGCATGGGTCGTTTCATAGAAAAAGAGCTAGGGGAACTCATTAGCATAATTCATTAGCATATGCCACACCCCCTGACATCACTGGAAGTGTGTCATAAGGCCACACACCCCGCCCCCAACGATCCTGGCCACCGCTGCCGGCCTTGCAGCTCCACTGCCGAGCCCCATGAGGGGCACGGCGGTGGACCTGCAAGGCCGGCGGGAGTGCAAGGAAGCCCCGCAAAGGCCCTCCCTGGCCCCAGGCAGGCAGGGGTGGGGAGAGGCAGGGAGGAAGCAACTTACCCTCCCTCTTCTCCTGCCTCCTCCTGGCTGAATGAGGGCCGGAAGCGGGGCGGCCGGAAGCAGGGGGCGGGGCTTCGTCATGTGCCCCGGCCCCCATACTCACCCGGGGGAACTGCGATCCCCCGCGATCCCCCCCGAAATGACCTCTGCTCAGAGGTATAACACAGAAAGATGGAGTACTCCCTGTGTCCATGTGAGAAGAAAAACGGTAGGCATATATCTACTCAGGAAGGTGGGGTACCTGCCTACTGTTTTTCCTCTCACATTGACACACAGAGAGTATTCCATCTTTCTGTGTTATATCTCTGAGGATGCCAGAGGCGAAACTACAATGCCAACACCATGGCCATACAGCCCAGAAAATCTACAACAACTAATGAACTCCAGCTGTGAAAGCCTTAGACAACGTACCTCATACAGCTGTTGTGAGGATAAAATGGAGGAGGGGAGAAGAATGTCATCTGCTTTGGGTCCCCATTGGGGAGAAAGATGGGGTATAAATGAAGTAAATGAACTTAGTGCCCAGCAGCTTTCCTGGGTGACGTGGAGATATACTGGGAGGGAAAGAAACATTCGTGGGGGTGGGGATCTTAAGCAGTTGGCAGGCAACAGTATATAATTGCAATCTGTGGGGAGATACAAACTTTATACACATAGCTGGCTGTTACAGATGAAAATCAATATGAGGGTTTTTGCAGAAATGCAAGAATTGTAGATGTTGGTCCAAATTCCCAAATTTAATCCCATGTAATTAGATTTGCCAGATCTGGGCTGGGAAATATCTGGAGATTATGGGGGTGGAGCCTGGGGAGGGGCGGGGTTTGGGGAGAGGCGAGACCTCAGTAGGTTATAGCACCATAGAGTCCACCCTCCAATGCCACTATTTTCTCTAGGAGAACTGATCTCTGAAGTTTGGAGATCAATTGTGGAAGCAAGAGGTCCCCAGGCCCCAACTGGAGGTTAGCACCCCTACATGTAATACAAGACATTGTCCTGACCTGGATAGCCCAAGATAGCCTGATCTTGTCAGTATTTTGAAGCTAAACAGGATCATCTCTGGTCAGTATTTGGATGGGAGACCACCAAGGAATACCAGGGTTGTTACACAGAGTCAGATGATGGCAATCCACCTTTGAATGTCTCTTGCCTTGAAAACCCTACAGGTCACCATAAATCACTGTTAATTGATAGCCAAAAAAAGAGAGAGAGAGAGAGAAAAGACATTAAAACTAGAAATGTAATTTCAGGTTGGTTTATTGATAACCAAAGGCCATTGCGATCGTAACATAAAAAATAACAGGAATCAAAAGAGGAAAAATACAAAGACTGCAGAATTTAAAAATACAAGAACCAAGCAGATCCAAAGATACTAAACATGCATATAAAGCTTAAAGTTCCTTCCCATAAAACTGCAATGAATTAGAGCAAGCCTGGCCCAATACAGCTTTGGCCTGAATTTTCTTAGCCATCATAGCATGTTTCAAGATCGAGTCAAATGAGTGCACAGTGCAGGTGGATTGTGGGAAAGCAGCTTTGTGGAGGAAATAACACAGCAAAAGTAATGGATAATTTGTTCTGTAGATTATTTCCAGAGGGTTGTAAGATAAGTTTGTCCTCGAAACCTAGCTTTTCACTTCTATATCTTGCTCACTCTCTGCCTTCTCTCGTATCTATCTCTATCTTATATCTATCTCTCTGTGTGTGTATATGTATTACCATTAGAGGTGTGCATTCAGCTATATCCAAGCTGGAAAAAGGGTAGGCTTTCAGCTGGATACAGATTTGGGTATTTTTCCAGCTATCTGAAATGGCCAGGCCCCCAATGAAGGATAGGGACACCTTCTTTGGGGTCCCATTGCATTGGACCCCCTGGTCCAGTCTTTTTGAAACTTGAGGAGGGGGTTGAGGAGAGGCACTAGAGCAGCTAGGCTGCAAATTTGGTGCCTGTACCTCAAAAAACAGCCCCCCTGAAGCCCCAGATAACTCCAGATCAATTCTCCATACTGTATGGGGACCGTGGACTGTATTGGTCCCCATAGGGTATAATGGAGCTGAAAAAATTTGAGATTTCTGAAAGATCCTGAATCCGAATACCATACCAGTATTGGGATTCAGGAATATTGGAAAATACTGATATTTTTGGGTTCAGTATACCTGAACTCGAAAAATACCATTATTATTTTTTTTGCACAACCCTAATTGCCATCAAGTTGCAACCCGACCTATTGCAATCCCTCAGAGTTTTCAAGGCAAGAGGCATTCAGGGGTGGTAGGCCATCGCCTACCTCTATGTAGCAATCCTGGATTTCCTTGGTGGTCTCCCATGATCCAAACACTGACTTGGGCTGCCCTGCCTAGCTTCTGAGATCTGACAAGATCAGTCTAGTCTGGGCTGTCCAGGTCAGGGCTCGTGTGTGTGTGTGTGTGTGTGTGTGTGTGCGTGCGTGCATGTGCACGTGCTTTCCTGGCTATAACAGCCTGCTTTGGTATCTGTTTTGTATTATTCATCCAATATCAGAGACACCACGTAAGGAGTATAAAGTTTAAAGTTCTATAGAGTGGAAGAGGGACAACCATTTTTGGAAGGGTGAATGTTGTTTGAAGTTTTACGTCTGAGGGCTGGTGTGGTGTAGTGGTTAGAGTGTTGGACTAACCCCCTGTTCTGTCATGGAAGCTTGCTGGGTGATTTTGGGGTCAGTCAGCCTAACCTACCTCACAGGCTTATTGTGATGAGGGAAGGAGAACAAAGAAAGCTGCTTAGGGGTCCCCATTGGGGAGAAAGGTGAGGCATAAATAAAAATATATCTGGTGACTACATGTTTTTGTTCTGGTTGTCTCTTCTGGCTGGACAGGTTTATGGAAACCGTATAAACACCTGTTTAGTCCTAACATGACCTTGGGATTTGTTTACAGCATAACCCACAATTTTGCTTACAGCTTTGTTTCCAGGCAGTGATCTTGCAACTTCTGCCTTGTTTGCATTCACTGAAATGGGTGTGGAATTATAAAGCTGGGCTTATGCTGCCTTTGACACCCGGCTTGTCCAAACGCTTGTTTTAACATTCACTTAGTGCCAGCTGTGTGCTGATCCATAGCATTCTCCCGTTGTCATTCCTCAGGCCGAAGCAGTGTCCATGCAGCTTTTATCCGAGCGCCGCCAGCTCTCATCAAAATGGAAATTCCCAGTGATCGCCCTATCGGTGCAAGCCATTTTATCGGGCCCCCTGCATTGTCTCCTGGCGTCCCTCCTCTTCTGGTGCCAGCCCCTCGCCGTACCGCTAAACAACACATCTGCACTACTTGTGGCAAGAATTTTTCTTCAGCGAGCGCCCTTCAGATTCACGAACGGACTCATACAGGTGAAAAGCCATTTGCATGCTCCATCTGTGGAAGAGCTTTCACCACCAAAGGGAACTTGAAGGTGAGCAAGAGGAAGGCATTAATGGGTATTTAGGTATAGGGTTTCAGGTGTTTGTCCCACTTCTTTTCCCCTCTTCTATCACTGGAAGTGACTTAAGTGGATTTATTTATATTTGGTGCATTTTTGTCCCAGCATTCCTGTGTGGAGTGTGAAGAGAGGCAGCGCGGCATAGTGGTTTGAGAATCAGACTAGGACCTGAGAGAACCAGGTTCAGTTCCCACTCTGACCATGGAAGCTTGCTGGGTGACCTTGGGCCAGGCACACCCTCTCAACCTAACCTACCTCACAGGGCTGTTGTTTGTGAGGATAAAATAGAGGAGATTTGTGCAAGCCACCCTTGGTCCCCATCACAGAGAAAGGTGGGGTGTTAATGAAGTATAGAAATAAATACCCACTACACCACAGAAAATGATAATTTGTAAGATTCCCTCCCCACAGTTCTGCTATTAAAATGTTGCATGGTAGAAGTTTTACCTCAAAACTTCAATTACCTGAGACTTGTTAGAATGTACCTATTTTTGGTGGGGTTTCAGGTTGTCAGATATTGAACCCAAGTGTAGAGAGACTTTGAGGCTGTACTGCTCTGGTGAATGTTCTGAAATATCATAGAAAACCATCAAAAATTCCCCCAAACTGGGAGCAGTTGGAGGCCTAACTTAACAAGGAATAATGTTTGATGTCCTTATTTCTTTTTAGTGGGTGTTGAGCAGTGACCACCACAGGTGAAGGCAGCCCCTCTCCAGAAAATGGTTTGCACTGGTTGCCCACCTGAAGGCCTCTGAGGAAACAGCCCCAGTCTTCAGTCTAGCCTTCTGGGTGCCCAAGATCTCCCCCCACTGGGGGGGAGGCAGTTGTTTACCTCATCACTGGCTTCTGGAGATATTCCTGACAATCCTCCAGCTTCCCAGCTCAGGGGTTAAAATGTCATCCTGTTTAGGAAGTTAGAGATAAGTCCCTTCATGTTTCCTCACACGGGGGCTTCAGTGAACCACCTTCATCTAATGGTGGCTGCCCTCTATGCATCTATTTGGGGTCTCTCTGTCTCTCTCTCTACAAAGCCCTTTGTGCTAGACCTCTCTGGGAGGTATGGGGAAGGTCCTAAGACTGCTTTTCTGAGGGCCAAGCTTTGCTGCCAAGAGCAGACTGGCCCCAGAGAAGCCAGGAGAATAGTTTCTATAGTCTCCTAGTCCAGGCAAAGTAACATCAGTGTGTTCTTCATTGGGCTGTTTCCAAAATACTTCAGGTGTTTCCAAAATGTTTCAGGTGAGGCTGATGAGACCTGCCTTGGTTCTGCTGATGCCTTGACAGCTCCCCCTCCCCATTCCACAGATGTTTTTCAGATGCATTGAGATGCATTAACTCAGTGGAGTCAATGCATTTCAATGGGGCCACTATAGCACTTCAGTGCTACAGAGGTTTAGCTCTGCAGCGCTCAACTTAGAACGTTTTTTTTTTAAAGTTGAAGGAAGACCGTGTGGTGAAAAAGGGTGTGTGTGGGGGGGAGCAGCATTGTAGGAAGTGCTATGGACATTAAACAACACACCACAGTGATTCAGAAGCACGATGAAAGGGTTGAAAACAGAAAAAAGCAGTTTCCCTCAAAAGTGGCTCAACCCCGCTTTGCAAACCTGACGCAAGTGGGTCTGTATGAACAGGTAAATAAATTCCACTAGGAGCCGGTTACTAAAATGGGTCTGTCTGAAATGACAGAAAAATCCATTAGCAACCAGTTACTAAAATGGAATACAAAGGCAGTTTGAAAAGGGTTCCTTTCTCACAATACAAGAGCTCATGGGCACTCAATGAAATTGCTGAGCAGTCAGGTTAGAACAGATAAAAGGAAGTACTTCTTCACCCAAAGAGTGATTAACACATGGAATTCACTGCCACAGGAGGTGGTGGCGGCTACAAGCATGGATGGCTTCAAGAGGGAATTGGATAAACGTATGGAGCAGAGGTCCATCAGTGGCTATTAGCCACAAGGTATAGATAGGAACTCTTGGTCTGGGGCAAGTGATGCTCTGTATTCTTGGTGCTGGAGGGGGGAAACAGTGGGAGGGCTTCTAGTGTCCTGGCCCCACTGGTGGACCTCCTGATGGCACCTGGTATTTTTGGCCACTGTGTGACAGTGTTGGACTAGATGGGCCATTGGCCTGATCCAACATTGGCTTCTCTTATGTTCTCTTATGTTCTTATGGGTTAGTGTGTGTGTGAAAAAAATGTTGACAGTATTCTTTGGTCTAGTATGTGTGCCAGGTCCCCCTTTCTCTCCATAACTGACCACATCTGTATCCCAAGGACCACAAGGGAGCATTCAAGAAGTTATTCCATTTATGTTTACAATGGCCCTGTAGGGTAGGGAAAGCCAAAAGATGGAGGTTAGGCTATATTCCTCCATTGTAAATGAACTGGAGTTTGTTCATGATAAGAATAGGCCTGCCTCGTCCTCTTAGGTGCAGAGCTAAACTCTATAGACCCGTTTTGTCACCATGTCCAGATTCAGGTGTTGCAAACTGGGATTCTAAACCATGGCTTAATCTTGGCTTGTGGGCAAGAAATAATAGCTAATTTGTTGATCTACCCACACTTGAACATCAAGCTAACTCAGTTGATTGTGAACCAGCATCCAAGTCCAAGAATAACCCAAGCTCATTCTTGTGCAGAAATGAACTGGAGTTTGTTCTCCTTTCAAATACTTTTGAGTTTTTGTTGAAGTTTTGCAAGATCAGTACAAGTGGAAAGTTAATGTTTTTTCTCATCCTTATGTCTATAAGGTCCACGTTGGAACTCATATGTGGAACAACTCAGCCAGGCGTGGAAGAAGACTGTCCATTGATAATCCCATGGCTCTGCTCGGCAGTGACCCAAAGAAGGTATCGGAGATCTTTCCTAAGGATGTTGTGCCCCAATCGGTCAACCTTGATCCTGCAGCATGGAACCAGTATGCAGCAGTGCTGAGCAACGGCCTAGCCATGAAGACCAATGAGATCTCTGTGATTCAGAGTGGCGGAATACCTCCTCTTCCAACTACAATTGGGGGAGGTCCAGCTATCAATATCACCATGAATTCTGCCACGGTCTCCAAGATAGATGGTTCTCAGTCTGCTGTTGGCTCAGAGATGGAAAAGCCTAGCAGTGCTGCCGCAGGCAATGTGCCAAAACACCAATTCCCTCATTTTATGGAGGAAAACAAAATTGCTGTCAATTAAAACCAGAAAACGGAGAGGAGGAAAAATGGATTTACAAAAGGAAAAAAACTGTACAAGTATATATAAATCTATATATTTTTTAAAGAGATTACACCTCAAGTATCCTTATTTTCCTATCGATGTGCAAATGATTCTGTGGTTGTCTTTGTAAAGAGTTGCCCAGAGTACAATCATGTCATTGTTTTGCGCAAAAAAAAAAAAGTGAAACCAATTTAGGATTCTTTTCTGTATTGGAAAGATGCGGGTCTTGCAAAGTAGTTTTTACACTTGTGACTTTAATGTGTAAAGCCTTAGATGTTTTACAACATGAAATTCCAAAGGTGACAGATAACATTTACCTCTTCTGTTGCTCACGTAGAAACCATGGGTGACTCTTGAGTGGAGTAGAATCCAATCTACTGGTCATTAAGTAGGACAAGGGGCTTTGGAGGTCCTGTAATTCACAAATGATACATGGAAACTTAATTATGCGGGTAAATATTCTAGAATGCCACCCTTTTTGAATAGTACCTCCCCCCCGTGGTGGTTTTTGAATGTAATATTACTTGTCAAATGTGCCGGTTCCATTTATTGCAGAAAACTGCTGTTCAAAAACAAAAGGACGCTTTTAAAACTGGCTCTCTTGTGACATCTCAAATACCCTGTATTAATGACTGCTGCTTATTTAAATACTACTTGGACATGCACACATGGCTTGAATAATAGTGCCAAAATTCTGACTTATCGGTGCAGGGGGGTTTTTTCGTTGTATTTTCCCCACACACAAACATAGGGTCGGGGAGGTGTGCTGGGAGAGAGCTTGCACCGGAAAACCAGGACAAGCAATGGATTAGAAACGTCGTGTATATACTGTTGAAAGGGAATCTGGTCTTTCAGAGGTTAGGTTTTGAATGTTCTGCTAGGAATCTCAGGTGACTTGCATTGCGGTTCCCTTAGCAAGAGGGAACCCTTCCTCATTCGTGCATCGTTGATCTTTGTAGGGTTTTTGGTTTTTTTTTAAAACGGAGATGAGTCTTTGTCTAAATCTGTATTTAAAATGAAGTACGCGCTTAGGTTTCATGTGCTTTGGGAGGTGGCATACTCTTCTGTTGAAGACATAACCACTTGGGGCATCCAGGATGTAGTCTACAAGAAGACTCTCCTGCATAAGCCCCGTGCTGTCCTGTGCAGTCTTTCAGCATGGCTTATACAGGAACACTTCCCCAGGTCCCTAAGTATTTTTTTCCCCTCTTGATATTTTGTGTGTGTGTTTGCATTTACATAAGATGAACCCTGATGGTGTCTGTAATTGTATTGTATGAAGGTTATTGGGTGGCCCTCTGGATTCTAAGTTATCTACCTCATGATTTTTTGTTCTTTTTTTTTTGTAGTGCTAAGTATCTATTTTTCTGTAAAAAAGAAAATAACCACTGTATTGAACTTGAGATCCAAGCAGAGGCTCCCATGCACTATTTTGAACCAAAACATGATGTACTGGTGGCAGTGGTCTGCAGATGTTGTAAACTTGTGTTGTGGCTTTTTTGTTTGTCTTCCTTTCAACCCCCCCCCCCCCCAATTTTTTTTTGCATTTGCAGGTGCCCTCTGTGTGTTGATGTCAAGCTACATTGGAAGACTTAGCTAAAGGACTTGAACAAAAATGTGGCTTTTCCAACCCACCCCAGGCATCAGAGTCCAGCTTTGCTCTCATGGAAGGCCCAGAGTGTGGATTTAATTTAAAATGTTGCAATTGTAATGTGGTTGCGCCTGAGTTGCTTTTTGTGTATTTTCAGGGCTGGGGGGAGGAATCTCTCTTCTCGCTTAGGATCAGTTTTGGTTTTGTTTGTTTTTTTTGCCAAGGTGTGCCTTTCCTGCTAGACTTTGTAAGTAAGAACACAACCTGTTTACACTGTAAAATGGATCTTGTTACAATGGAATATGCCAAAGTTGCATCCCGATCATTGTGTCTCTTCTGCATTGTGAATGTACGGACTTTTAATGGAATTCTGCGTAGTTACTCTTCCTTTTTTTTTTTTTTTTACAAAATTATCTACTGATGCATTTCTGTTGATGCAAGAATAAATCTGGGATGACTTTTTCACACACTGCATCCAAGCTTCCTTTTTTGCTTTTTTAAATTTCTGTAGCTTTTTTGGGCATACTGGTTACTTTATGGTGAGGGCTTTATGTATTCTATGCCCTAGTAGACATGGCTTACAAATTCTGTGCTTGGGCTATTCAAATTCTGCACCAAGAAGAACTCAGTTTTTCACCTGTGATGTACTGCGCCCTGAACTCAATGGCCCAGACTAGCTGATCTCAGAAAGTATATACCAGTGTTCCACCTTTTCACCTGGTCAGGATTCCCAAGACAAGGCACATAAAACATTAGAACAATTAAAAACAACATTAGAATGATATAAGAGTTCAATAAAAACTCAAACAGCTAAACCAAGGGAGGAGGATCAATAACCATTACCAAGGGTATGCTAAACTAAACAAAAGTCTTAACCAAATCTGCTTGGATGGGAGACCACTCTGGTTGCTACTCAGAGGTGGGCACTGGCAAACCACCTCGGTCTCTTTCCATGAAAACCCTGCAGGGTTGCAATAAGTTGTCTGTGACTTCACGGCACTTTCCACCACTATCCTGTACTATGCTTTCTTTGGTCCTTGATCTTGGTGTGGATTTTTTAGGAAGGACTTCTACAGATGATGGGAGAACTGAGTGACATTTGGACCTTACTGGGCTATATGACATGAGCCCATGACATGACACTCCATTGTTTGCTGCAAGGGCTGTACCACCTACAGCAATTAAACTGCGAGCCTGTCAGCATCTTAATACAAAAGGCGGCCAATGCAGGTTCTTAAGGCCTTGACCTGGAAAAATCAGCTTCCCTCCCTCTATTTCTCTGAATTTTTGAAGGACCTAGCTCAATGGAAGAGTTTTGTGTCATTTTGATTGGCCCTAGTAAAAGGTATTTTATGGATTTTGGTTCTTGCTCTGGATTTTGCATGAGCCCAATATGGCTATTGACAACTTGATTTTCTGCTTTGCAAAAAGTTCACGCTTCTGTCCTGCCCATCCTGTAACATGGAGGGTTTTACAGTTGCCTTTATAGTGGTCAAACTAACATGGCCTCTCCCCGTTGGTTCCCAGAGAATTTCCTGCTTCTAGAATTTCCCATTTGCGGCCGCCTCCAACCTTTCTAACAAAACCACGGCTCCTTTCACCATAACATGTGAAGGGCACTCCAGTAGCTACACAGTGTGTTCTGAGTGACTCTTTAGTTCAAAAACATGTCTGTCTTTTTCATTCCATGCTTGGAGCTTGCTTGAGCAGATGAAGCTGTCTTCTACTGAATCAGACCTTTTGGTCCATCAGGATCCTCAGTGGCCCCTTTCACATTAGTGTTCTAAACCAGATGTTATTCGTTGTTGGCCCAATTTCGAGTAAAGCGATACAGGGACAGGGGTTTCATAGAGCAAATTTCCTTCCATAAATGAGCCATCTCTAAAGCGCTATGGTCATTTCAAACAATGTTGCTTCCCCTCTCTGGCGCTATTTTGCCGCACGATCTTCCTTGGACATTAAAAGTTCTAAGGTGAGCGCTACAGCACTAGACTGCTATAGCACTTCAGTACAATAACAGCAGCACTGAGATGCATTGACTCAGTGGAGCCAATGTATCTCAATGGTGCCGCTATAGTGCTCACCTTAGAACATTAAAAAGTGCAGCAAAAAAGGATGGGGGAAAGCAGCATTGTAGAAAGCACTTTAAACAGCACACCACAGCGATCCAGAAGCAAAGCTTTTAAGTGTGAACATGGGAGGATATTTTAGTACATAAAAGAAGCTAGTCTGGAGGGAAACAATTCAGAGTTTATGAAATGGTAGGAAAATGGGCTATCATAATTGGAATATTGCCGTTACATAGCTCTAAGGCAGTTTCATGGTAGATCAAGATGGGTCTGTCTGTAGCGGTAGAAAAGAGCAAGAGTCCAGAAGAACCTTAAAGAAAGATTCTCACTGCTCACTCCTTCAGGTGCTACTGGACTCTTGCATTTTCATGGGCTCAAGTGACGTCACAGCTCCACTGAGCTTCCTCCCCAAATCTGCTCCCTCCAGGCATTGTCTCCAAATCTCCAGAATTTTCCTGAGTCAGAGGTGGCAACCCGAACATGAAGTGTTTTGTACACTGATTACTATGCACATTTGCTTAATGTGTAAACCTTGGTCACAAGATACAATTTTTAGGTGTTTTTTTTTTTTTTAAGATTGGAACATGTCAGCTACAAGAGCTGGTTAGTACTTGGACGGGAGACCACCAAGGAAGATCAGTGTTGCTATGCAGAGCCAGGCAATGACAAACCAACTCTGAATATCTTTTGCCTTGAAAAACGTATACGATGTCATAAATCAGCTGTGACTTGACAGCACTCTCCACCACCACATTGTGGGGACAGCAACTGAAATCCTTAACACTGCCTAATCACATTTGATATGAGCCAAGAAGTTTTGTAAATTGTATTAGATACTATATTACCATCATCATTGTGCTAGTCATGAAATGGGCAAAGAACATGGCCAGACACAGGCCCCCCAAATCTCTGTGCTTGGTTTTCGAGAAGGTTAGGCTGAAAGATAATGGTCGTTGAGGACCGTGTGAGGATTTGAACCCAGATCCTAGCATACACGAACACATACCGAATTTGGTTCAAGGTGCTGGTTCTTACCTTTAAAGCCCTATATGGTCAGGAACCTACATACCTAAGGGACTACCTTTCCCCACACATTCCCCAGAGAGCACTATGATCGGGGTCCCAAAACTGCTTGGCCCTACAGAGCCCTAGAGAAGCCAGACTGGCTATGACTAGGGCCAGGGCTTTTTCAGTGGCGGCTCTGCACTGGTGGAATGAGCTCCCAGAGGACATCAGGGCCCTGCGGGATGGAGCTCTTCCACCAGACCTTCGATTATGGAGCCGCACCCAAGAAATTGTAGCCCTGGCCCAACACTAAC